GCTGGATGACCATGCTTGATCTGCAAGATATGCGATTTGATCCAAATATGGACACAATCAAATCCTTTAAGACTTGCAGTTCAACAATCTAGGAATTGGCATGTGCCGCAAGTAATTATGCCTCTTAAGAAGGTGCAATATCTACTTCTAGATATCCTTTAGGATTCTCCCCACAGTATAAATACACTCGTCTAGGGTTTATCTTGTTAGTCCTTCTAGAGATCATAACCATCAAACTCTAATCTGTGTATGGAGAATCTATCGCTTGAGCGGCATAATACAGTAATACCACCTTCGATTGAGCGGCAGAATATAGTAATAACACCGCTTGAACGGTAGAATACACCGCTTGAGCGGCAGAACATTACATTAAAGGTTGATAACACTAACTTGCGTTTGACGCCATGAAGATCACTGCAGCAAGACAACCTTCTTTTCTCTTGTGTGATCGAAATTATTACCAAACTCTCAATAGGATGAGTTTATGTCTAAATCTAAAATGGTAAACATATTTTTTCTCACCGAGAGAAGGGACCATATCGCTATATATATATATATATATATATACTTGTAGTAGTTCCTTCCTCCCATCAAGAAAGGAGAGTTACCACCAGTTACATCTTCAATGTAACTGTCTGATTCAAATTAATTTGAATCTCGTTAAGTTTCCCTTCAAATCTTAATTTTGGAAACTGCATTATTACATTAGATAGGCTAAGTTCAATATATATAACTCACTTAACTTATAATATTACACTTGTCAAATGTTTGATGAAACTCACATTAAGTTTCTTACATTCTCCCACATGAGTGAGATCAAACATTAAACCATTATTGTAGTATCATAAGCAAGTATGATCATAGAGTTATAACTTGTAAAGCCTTTGCTTAGTACTTACCAATTTAGTGCAGTAGATGGACCTTGGAAACTTGATATCAGTGTTTGTATCAGTTCGCCAAGATCACTGTCATATTGCAATAAATTGTAAGCATAATCATTAAGGAAACATCACATTAACGAGAGAATCATAATGTGCACTTTGATCTCTCCCATATTTCTTTGGTCCTAAAATACACCAATTTATGTATTTTCTTTAACATGTTAATTTGCAAGAATTAACATTCAAACAGTGAGAAACTTCATACATATATTGTACTTTCATAATGAACAGACAATCAGTTCAGTACATTCACACTATTTCTTAAAACAGCAAGGATTGCAAACATAATATCCTTACTCCCACATTCAAAACTCATCCATCGAACTCTGCAGACCCATGCTTGTTAAAACTTGTAACATGTATGGCTTTGGTCAGTGGACCAGCCACCATATCACGGGTGCTTATATGCTCAACTTCGATAACTCCTTCTTTCACTTGGTCTTGAACTTTCAAAAACTTTATGTCCATTAGTCTTGATGCTTTAGATTTTTATTATTCTTGGTAAAGAACACTGTCGAGGTGTTATCACAGAAGATTTTAACAGGTCTCTCTATGCTTCTCACCACCTTCATATGATGAATTAAGTTCTTCAGCCAGTTTGCTTGTCTCATTGCCTCAAAACATCCAATATACTCAGATTCCATGGTTGACACAACCCTTGTTTGTTGCTTCTTGCTTCTCCATGAAATTGCACCCCCAGCTAACATGAATATATAACCACTCATTGACATTCTATCATCAACACATCCTCCAAGATTAGCATCCGTATAACATGTCAATTCAAGATAATCAACATAGTGGTAAGTCAACACATATGTTTGTTCTTTTCAAATATCTTAACACTTTCTTTGCAGCATTCCAATGGGGCAACCCTTCATTCGATTGAAATCTTCCCAAAACACTTAAAGCAAAAGCTAAATCTGGCCTGCTACATACTTAAGCATACATCACACTACCTACCAAAGAAGCATATGGTTTGTCCTTCATCTGTTGAATCTCAAACTCAGTAATTGGACATTGCTTGACAGAAAGCTTGTTTCCTTTCCCAATTGGTACTTCTCCACCACTGCAATGTTCCATGTTAAACCTTTTCAAGACCCTACTAATGTAATTTTTCTGAGCCAGCCCTAGTAGTCTTTAGTGTCGATTTCTGAGTATTTCAATTGCCAACACATAATGAGCTTCTCCCAAATCCTTCATATCAAAGTGACTTTTTAGCATGGTCTTAGTTTCTGAGAGTAACTGAGAACTAGTGCTTGCCAATAAGATGTCATCCACATAAAGAACCATGAAAATGAAATTTGATTTAACCATTCTCATGTATATGCAGTTGTCTATCTTATTTTCAGTGAAACCAAAACCTGTCACAACATTATCAAACTTCTTATATCGTTGTCTTGAAGCTTGTTTAAGGCCATAAATGGACTTGTTAAGTTTGCACACCCAATTGTCCTTCCCCCTTTCAACGAATCCAAGGGGTTGTTTCATGTAGATATGTTCATCCAATCCTCCATTCAAAAAGGCTGTTTTAACATCCATTTGATGAAGTTCCAAATTGAATTGTGCTGTTAGTGCTATTATCACATGAAATGAATCCTTGGTTGAGACTTGAGAAAAAGTTTCTGTATAATCCACCCCTTCTCTTTGAGTAAACCCCTTCACTATTAATCTGGCTTTGTACCTGTCCACTTTGCCCTCAGAATCTCTTTTAGTTTTAAAAATCCACTTGCATCCAACAACTTTTGCATGTGGTGGACTCTCCACCAAATTCCATACGTGGTTACTTGCCATGGAAACCAACTCATCATCCATTGAAGCTTTCCATTATGAAGCATGAGGACTTGACATAGCTTCTTGGTAAGTGAGTGGATCATCCACATCTCCAACATTGTAGTCAATCTCTTGCAAATACACCATGTAATCATCCGAAATTGTTGGTTTCTTTAGTCTTGAAGATTTTCTAGTTGGGAGCAATGGGGGTTCATTATTAACTGATAATGTAGGCTGAGATAGATCTACAACTACACTGGTGGATGGTTGATCACCACTTTCAGAGACTGGTGGTAGAGCTGGTATTGGAGAGAGTTGAGGAATCTCAATAATGGTTGGGAGAGAAGCTTCAGTTGGTGCAGTGAAATGCAAATTATCAGCGAATGACATTGTCACAGGTAAGGACAAAGTATTCATGGCACTTAGGACCGGGGAATAACATGGTTCTTCTTCACTAACTTCTTAAAAAACAATGGAAGTAGCTGCACCAACTCCATTGTGATGAATATCTTCAATGAATTTTGCATTTTGACTTTCCATAATTATAGTACGAGCATGATGACAGTAGAACCGAAAACCCTTCGATTTTTCTGCATAACCAACAAAGTAACAAGAAGTGGTCTTCAAATCCAATTTTCTTTCATTTGGATTGTACAATCTGGCTTCACATTTACACCCCCATGTGTGAAAGTGATTGAAACTAGGCTTTCTTCATGTCCAAGCTTCAAATGGTGTGATTAGGACAACTTTAGTAGGCACTCGATTAAAGATATAGTTAGCTGTCTTGATTGCCTCACCCCATAAGAATTCAGGTAGTTTGGCAAATGAATACATGCTCCTTACCATGTCTTTAAGTGTCCGATTGCGTCTCTCAGCCACTCCATTCTGTGATGGTATACCTGGGGTTGTGTATTGAGCCATAATACCCTCTTGCTGCAGGTATAATGCAAATGGTCCTTTAATTTTTCCTTGTTCTGTGTATCTCCCAAAAAACTCACCTCCATGATCAGACCTTACTATTTTAATTTGTTTATCCAAATGTTTTTCAACCTCAAGTTTAAAGATTTTAAAACAGTTTAGAGTTTGAGACTTGTTCGAGATAAAAAACAAATAGGTATATCTTGAAAAAAACATCAATGAAAAGAAGAAAGTAAGAGCTCCCACACATTGTTTTTGTTGGAAATGGACCACACACATATGTGTGAATGATCTCTAAAAGATCATTACTTCTTTTGGCCTTACTTTTGTTGGTTAAATTAGTGGTTTTGCCCTTGAAGCAATCTATGCAATTCTCAATATCAGATATGTCAACATTTGTCAATGCACTGTCCTTTATTAGTCTTATCATCCTAGCTTTGGAGATATGCCCTAACCTTCGATGCCAAAGCATTGAGGAAGAGTTATTTATGAGCATTCTTTGTGGAGTTGGGTTAACTACATTGAGACAATCATAATTATAAGTGCATTCAATTTGCCATTAATCACCATTTGGAAAAGCATATCCAATAACACTGTCAAACTGGTCTTTAACATAAAATCTTATTTGAGTAGCATCTCCTATATAAGAGAAGCCATGTTTAACAAACTGAGTTACTGAAAACAAATTCCTTCTAATTGAAGGTACATACAATACATTATGTAAAGTTAAAACATATCTAGTTGACAGCTTTAAGTTGACAGTACCCACAACTTCAACCATGACTTTATTCCCATTTCCAACATAAACATTATAGGACTCTTTACTTGTCTCCTTCTGGCTTCGAAATCCCTGTAAAAAGTTGGTTATATGGATGGAGCATCTAGTGTCAAACCACCAAGAGTTTTGTGGTATAAAAATCATATTTGATTCAACTGTCACAAAAACATCAAAAATTGTTTTACCTTTCTTGAGTAACCACACTTTAAAAGCAGGACAATTCTTTCTTAAGTGTTCAGTTGATTGACAATGAAAACACTTTTTAAAATGAGGTTTGTGAAGCTGTAAACCTTGAGATGAGGAGGCTCCATTATTTTTGGGAGATACACCAGAACTCTTAAATTGCTTCTTGGAACCAAATGCGGATGCTGCTGTGCTCCGAGGGTTAAATGGCTTGGTCCCCTTATAATTATCATTTTTGGTAGGCATGATCTGCTTTCCCTTTCCTTTTGCAGTGTTGGCAAGGTTGACCAATTCCATTTTCTCGGTTTTGGATATTTCAGTCTGTCTTCCTCTTGGCAACATATAGCAATCAACTCATTAACATTCCAAGTTCCTTTTTGAGTGTTATAGTTCACCTTGATTTGATCATATTAACCAGGCAAAGAGTACAAGGCCATGTGCACTAGAAATTGGTTAGTGATACCAATCTCCATGGCATTTAGTTTGTTAGAGAGATTCACCATTTTCAACAAATGTTCACGCACACTTCTTGAACCATCGAACTTGCTATTGATAAGTGCAGAAAGATGTACCCCCACTTCAGCCTTATCTGACCTATTGTACTTCTCCTTGTTCATTGCCAAATAATCCTTGGCTAAATCACAACTTGTAATGCCACCTCGGTTATGCTCTTCCATTGCATTCTGCATAATGAGAAGAGACATCTGATTTGCCTTCTCCCATCTTGCAAAATGATCTCTCTCTTGAGGAGTGTTGTTATCAACCAAGGCAGATGGTTGAGGGGACTTAAAAGCTATGTTAAACTCAAGCATTCCCAGATTCATTTCAATCAGTTGCTTCCAAGTTTTGAAGTTGGTGCCATTCAATTTCTCAATGTTAACAAGATTGAGCATATTGAAACCTGCATGTAAATACATTTGGTTTGAAAATCATAAGTTTTGTAAGCAAGAACATGTCTTAATTGTCTTGTTACACTAAAACATATGAAACCAGTCACACCTTCGGGTAAGAAACTGTTCATATAAGTTTATAATTTTCAAAGTTTGCATAGCCAAATATAAATATCATGGTTTGTATGTATGACTACACCTTTAGGCAAGAAGAAATACACCATTACATGACATTCATCATTCACTGTGCATCAGTCCATAATGATCCCAGTATATATAAATTTCTTTAGAAATTTGTTCAACTTGATAGTATTATGAACCTCTATTTTAAGTATTCTTAATTGTAATCATAAGAACTTAAGATTGAATCTAACACTTTTGTGGAAGATGCAATGTAATCAAATGACAACAGTACTTAAAATCATCAGTATCAACACCAGAATGATATCATACAGCCTTGAAAATATATAAGGCATCATGCTTCATGATTCTTAATGGGAATTAAATTATGAATCATCATACTATACTACAGATAGATTCAAATATTGAAAGAATAAAAGCAATTTAAAAATAATGCAGTCTATAACATAAAGCTGCAGTAATCGATATAATTGTCATGCACATGAAATATTTAATACAGTTATAGCAGCGGAAGATTGTAGTCATAATGCATGTATAATCATGCAATAGTTTGAATGGTGCGGCTCTGATACCACATGTTAGTCCTTCTAGAGATCATAACGATCAAACTCTAATATGTGTATGGAGAATCTATCGCTTGAGCGACATAATACAGTAATACCACCTTCGCTTGAGCGGCAGAACATAGTAATACCACCACTTGAGCGGCAGAACATTACATTAAAGGTTAATAGCACTAACCTGCATTGACGCTGATGCGAAAATTATCTTAACACACAAATTTAACCCTCTTTTGACAATTGTAGTACAAGTATAAGTAGGGATCGTTCTAGACCGCGGATTATGAGGGCTTGCTAATAACCTCTAAGCTGACTCAAAAACATAAAACTAAATTTAAAAACACTTAACAAGACTCAACGCACACTTAAAATACTCAAAACAGCTTAAAACAACTAAATAAACTTAAACTAGATACTAGGAATGACTTTGGACGAAAATTGACTTTTACTTGAATCAAAACATTTAAAACACAAAATAAAATAGATTCTAACTAATTAGACACACTAAAGTAAAGGGGGATTGAGTTTTGGACGAAATTGAAACAAACAAACAAGTATGAAAAACTAGACAGATTGTAAAACAAATTTGAGAAATAAGATGATGGATGGGATAGCTAGAGGCTTTTACTCTGTTGGAAATGTGCCCTAAAACCAATCATATGATGATACTTTACGGACATTTCACATGTTAAACTAATCTATTTTAATATCAAGGGCAAAGATTATTGTTTTAAGCTGTCTCATATAAATGTTATATGCTTAAACAATAAAGTCCAAGGAATATGTGATTGGGAGAATGCAATCTAAAGAAGTTAGATTCATGAGACCATTCTTTCGTAGACACATCCTAAACGTTCCTGATCATAGGATTGCCAATTGGGCATTGACAGTCCGTTAAGATCAGTACGTACTTTGTCTTCTCTCAGGGAGAGTGACTAGTCTCGAGTCATTGGTGTATGTGACATCAAGACAAGTACGTAGGTGCTCAATAGAGAATGAGTCCACTGAACACGATCAACGAAGAGTTCTCATATTCATGTCACATGAGAACTCATGGTTGGGATAATGCAAAGTAGTTCTTTGACCTGAGGCATCGTCGTTGTCTTGTGGTTAAGTCCTTGATCTTTGATTATGTCAAACGTCATTCCATTGGAGTGTCCACAGCATCATTGGGGTTAAACCACTTAGCCATGGAGGCAAGTGAATGCGCAACAAGGGATCTCTAACCTTCAAACTGTTTGAGGGAGAATTCTCTATGATATGATTAAGAATCTCTGGCCAGAGTATGAATGAGATTTAGGAAGTCGTTCCAAATCACATTCAAGGTAATCATATAAGCACACGAATCACATTGGATAGCAGACATGAATAAACTAAACTATCAAACCAAACAATGTGGTCAAGAGTATTGTATTAGAGAAAGACCGTATTGCATTTGTAATCCTAAACTGAATAGGTTCTCTACCTCTTCTGATTAGCTTGGGTAACCATGATATGCTGACACCACTCATGGTTTGTGGAAGCCCTAAACGTGTATAATCACTAAAGGGAGAATAGAAAGTAAGTTTCAATTCACAATCGATTAGAAAGAGTTTTAATCGCCCACTGCCTCGCTAAAAGGAACCTAATGGATCGTACACCGTGTAAGGTAAAGATTGAAGAAACAACGGAGATGAGTAAGAATGATTAAATGGTTTAATTATTTATTTATGGCAAGGATTAATTAATATGTTAATTAATCAAACGAATAAGTTCGTTAAAGACCTCGGGATAGTTTTGGACCTTAAGGCCCAATGGACTTCGAACGTCAAGCCCATTGACTTAAGTTGTATGACAACTTAATGAATAAAATTCACAAAGGCCGAATTAGGCCAATAACACCCTAAGGCCGGCCTTGAGATGAAAATAGGGTTTTTGGTTCTTTAGGTCATTTAAAGAAGTGATTATATAAAGAACTTTATAGCCTAAAATTCATTAAGGGTTCTTTTGGAGAAAATTGGTGAGAACATGTCTCTCCTTTTCTCTCTAGGAGGCCGGCCCCCTTGGAGGGTGCATCTAGCAATCCCACTACTCCAAGGTCACTCATTTCTTCTCCAATCTAACCTTGGTGAAGAGACTTAGAGGTTCTCAATTTTGGGAACTTGGAGAACCATATTCTTCCATCCTAATCCATAGATTTTAGATGCAAGGAATGAAGGCCCTCTCTTTGGGTGATTAGCCTTTGCTTATGCAAAGAGGAATCTATAAAGGTAAATATATTTCTCAACTCACTTTGTTTTGAGTTGAATCTTGGTTCACCAATCTACTAGGCTTTGAATTTCATGGGTAATGTTTTGTTTTTAAGTGCATGCAAGCATGATTCCGCCTTTAATTGTTAATTGCATGCTTATTGATGTTGCTTAAGTGAACATGTTTTCACAAAATATTCCTTCATTCTCCACACATGATATGTATGCAAACAACTCGATTTCCAGTTACTACTTCATTGAATTATGAACGACAATGCTCCAAATTAACTGTGACATCACTAGTTAACTCTTAGATTTTCCTTGTTTTATTGGATTGGATGACATCATTCGACAACCCAAAACATTCTTCTAAAGTTCCCTACATGACATCATAATAAAGATACAATCAAATATCATTACGTTTAATGAAAATCATAAGCATTGACAAAGCACTTGCAACTATGACATCATGTCACTCATGCTAGGAATTGAACTTAACGCGATCGTTTATAAGTGACCTTCACTACATGTGAATATAAGTTTGTAACGATTATGTGAAACTTCCTTATATTCTAGCAACGGATTTATGCATGCCAATTAAGTGTCGACCCTTAATTAACAAATACAAATAAGTTATCAATCAAATAGTTAAGCCAATTGCATTCACAATTCAAGAGTTCATAACTGGAATTTATTAAATTATATTGCACACATAATCATGGCTTTGAAATCACCCCTATCCAAGAGGGGTTTAGCCACTCATATTTACAACAAAATGAAAGGAAATGAATTTAAACATTAGAAACAAAAGAAAGAAAACACCTAAACGCTCCAACGATCCAAGTTGGACAGCAAGCACGTCCAAGCACTTTCCTTCCCTTCCTTTGCTACGGCACAAGGTGTTTGTGAGTGTTTGAAGGTTTGTTTGTATGGAGGAATGGATGTGAAGATGAATGGATGCGTTTGGATGAAGGTTGTGTTGAAATGGGAGTGAATGATTTAACCAAGTATGGACTAAATTTATGTTACACACACTTCCTTTTATAGAGGAAGTGCATGGCAATGGAGGGGAACATGGAGTGGTGTAGCAATTGAGTGCAATGATTCAATGTAATGATGCATAAAATCTGAAATGATGGAGGGAATAAGGAATGGTGTAGCAATTGAGTGTAATGATTCAATAATGATGCATAAAATCTGAAATGATGGAGGGAACAAGGAATGGTGTAGCAATTGAGTGCAATGATTCAATGTACTAATGCATGAATCTGAAATGATGGAGGGAACAAGGAATGGTGTAGCAATTGAGTGCAATGAGTGGTGTTTGAAATGATTCAAAGGTGAAAGTGAAGTGATGATGCAAAGCATGGAGGTAAAATGGAGTGATGTTGCAGCTAGGGAACATGAATGATTGTGCACATGGTAGAGAAAGGAAATGGAGGTGGAATGAAGCAACAAATGAGTCAATTGAGGGAACATGGATGATGATGCACGACATAGGAATCCAAAGGAAGTGCAATAGTGGTGCACAACAATGATGGAAAGGTGAATGGTGGAGTGACACCCCTTTGTGGCTGAGCTCTTTGTCTTTTTTACATTAATTCTTCTTTCTCTTTAACACATTCCTAGCCTCTTTAGTCTTCAATTTCGTCCATCCACCTTGCTCCATGCATGTGTTATTCATTCCAAGCCAAAAAATGCTCCAAAATGCATCTTATTGTTTCATAAGGCATATGGACCTACAAACACACGAAAATAGCTTAAAATACATAATTAACTAAGAAATAACAACATAAATGCATGAGAACAAGCTAACTCAGTCGCATAAATATGCTCCTATCAGACGCCATGAAGATCATTGCAGCAATACAACCTTCTTTTCTCTTGTGTGATCGAAAATATTACCAAACTCTCAATGGGACGAGTTTATGTCTAAATCTGAAATGGTAAACATGTTTTTTCACACCGAGAGAAAGGACCATATCGCTATATATATATACTTGTAGCAGTTCCTTCCTCCCATAAAGAAAGGAGTTACCACCAGTTACATCTTCAATGTAATTGTCTGATTCAAATTAATTTGAACCTTCTTAAGTTCCCCTCCAAATCTTAATTCCGGAAACTGCATTATTACATTAGTTAGGCTAAGTTCAATATATATAACTCACTTATAATATTACACTTGTCAAATGTTTGATGAAA